CATCCCTCTGGGAAAGCTGAGTCTCCAGGCTTGGAGGGACCGGCCCAGTGGATTGTGGGTGAGAGACGTGCAGGGGGAACGAGCAAGGGGAGCCTGCCCACTCCTCCCCCGCTCCCCGAGTATCTGAGTGCCACACCAACACACTCTCCTCTGGAGACATTTAGTAAAGCCAAGGACATTATCTCCAAACACCGACGTCTGGGTTTCCCATTGAAACGGCCACCGCAGCCTAGTCACCCCGCAGAGCGGCACCCCATCCCGCCTCCCCCAGTACTCAGCTCCTATGTGGCCGGTGAGTATCCTTCTCAAACTGCTCAGTCAAGAGCCAGGCAGCTGAGTAAATCCCCTCACATGGAAGACTGGAGCAGAGCAGGTAACTGCTAAAAAAGTAAAATATCTCCAGAGAGAAAAGAAAGATAGCATCCATTTAAAAAGTATTCCATGAAAAAAGAAACATAATCAAGAAAAACAGGATTCAGGAAATAACAGGGCGGGCGGATTGAAAGCTGGGGAAGTCACCCAGAAAGTTGAATAAAGGGGCAAAGATAAAAAAGTGAAAAGACAAGCAACTCAGAGTTGACACAAGAATCCAATCACAAATAACAAGAATGACCAAAGATCAGAAAAAAGAGGGGAAAGTATACATAAATGCAACCGAATGTCCCACCACCAACGGCCTTAACTGTCCCAATTCAAATGATCGACAGAAGTGCCGTGAAAAGGGCGAAGTCTCACATCAAGAAAAGCCTGGTGAAATACCAGACTATCAAGGCCAGAAGGAAAAATTCTCAAATTTTCCAGAAACAGGAAGGGAAAAAACAAACATACGGAAGGATCAGGAAGCAGAAGGTGCTGGTTCTTCAGCAGCAACGGTGGCTGCTACACTGTAACGAGCAACGCCTGCAGTTCCCAGACAGGGTTCCACAGGGGACCGGGCCAGGCTCCGTGAGCTGTGCACAGGCCTCCACGCGAGCCAGGGACAGTGCGAGTAGACCTGATACAGAGTCTGATACATACAGGCATTTGAAAAACATCTGTGGCAGAAGTGTGGGAGGTGTGTGGTAGAGCATTCAAGAGAAAGGGGCAAGGGTAGAAAGAAAAGAATGGAAAAGGAAATAAAAACAATGGGATAATTACATTGAAAGTGACAACCAAGCACACTGACAGTCGGTCACCAGCACTGTGCAGGCCTGGACATGCGGATAGGCCTGTCTAGGACACCACCTGGGGTCGTGTGTGCTGACAATCGATGCCACAGGAGCCGGAGGCGGCTGCCCGGCCAGGAAAGCCACACAGCCGAGGCGGCAGAGGGAACCAGAACCCCAGCCAGAGCAAGCAGTCAGTAGGTAGCCTTTCAAATCGATATACACACAGTTCTGTGGGTATATCATTTGTAATTATGAAGGAAAATGCCAGAAGAAAAGTTAAACAGCTCAAAATGGTCATTTTTGGGGGGGTGCGAGGATGGAGGCTACACAGTACTTCCTGACAAGCATTTTTATGACTTGACTCCTATACCTTGTCAATGTGTAACTTTAATTACATTTTTAATTAACTGGGGGGGGGAAACAAAACCCTTCCAGGCAGCCGCAGCAGACAGCCATTGGTCTGAGGCCTGGGGGTGGCAGGGTGGGAGGTCCAGCATCCACGCAAGGCTTTCCTCCGCAGAACCCTGTGCTGAGATCCGCAGCAGCCTCAAAGGGTCTTGCCTCCCAGCCAGCACTGTCCACAGCTCACTCTCAGACCACCCCAGGCCCGACCATCACTGGGAGATAGAGGCCTTGAAAGCAGCTGCGGGGAGACAGCACCACCGTGTGGAAACAACAGGAATGGCAGCTGGTCTTCACCAGGAGGCAGGGTCTGGGTGCTTGAAGAACTCACCCTGCCTTCACCAGGAGGCAGGGTCTGGGTGCTTGAAGAACTCACCCTGCCAGGGGACCAGAGCCTCCTCCTGCCCATTCATCCAACAGTCACTCCCTGTGCGCCAGCTGCACAGCAGGTGCTGTCCTNTTCACCCAACAGTCACTCCCTGTGCGCCAGCTGCACAGCAGGTGCTGTCCTAGGGCTACAGAGAAGCAAATTCCTCTTTCCAGGTGCTCAAGACAGTGGAGGGCCACGCAGACTGGGAAGGTGAAGGCTGTGGGTGCAGCAGCAGGAGGTGCAGTCGCAGGAGCCCCAGCAAAGGCCAGCAGCAGGCAGGACACCCTGTCAGTGCACTAACGTGTCCAAACTAGACTGAAAGGGCCCAGGCCCAGGGCAGCTCACTGCAGTGACAGAACAGGTACATGAAACAAAGAAACTACCTGGAACGCTAGAAGGTGAAGTAGAGCAGAGCAGAGCGCCAGGGTGAGCTACAACCTCAAGTGGGGGCGTGAAGGAAGCCTTGCCTTGAGGTGACCGTGGAGAAAAGCCGGGAGGTAATGGAGTGACCGTGCCCTGCCCAGCTGGCAGAGGCTGGGGGTGTCCAACATGTCTGAGGAGCAGGAAGGCAGATAGCAGGGAGCGGCGGGATGGGGCAGGGTGGGCCAGGGGGAAGCAGGAGACAGCAGGCCAGGAAACAGGCATGTGGGAGGCCTGTCTAGGTCATTCTCAGAATTTACACTTCACTCTGCATGAGACAGGCTGCACCTGGAGTTCAGGTGGGTGTGAGGTGATTAGAATGACATTTTCAAGGCTGCTATGTTGAGAAAAGTTGTGAGGGAGTCAACAGTGAGAAAAGGGAGATCAGTCCCAAAGCCGTTGCAAGAATGTAAGTGAGAAATCATGGTCATAGCTGAGGTGGTAGACCTTATTTGGATTCCAGATGAATGTTGAAGCTGAAGCTAAAGATAAGAGGGATGTGCTAATGGCTGTGTCCGGCCTATGGAAGGAGAGGAGTTCAGTGTGACTACAAGGTTTAGGGCCAGTGCCACTGGGGAAAACGGAGTTGCAACTGGCTGAGAAGAGGACAGCAGGTGGGCGGGTTCAGGAGGGAGACAGACGCGTTCGGCTCCCTGATGGTTCCACTGAGACTGGAGCCTCCCAGGGGGCCTGTCCAGGGGACAGAGGTGAGGCAGGAGTGTAGGGAAGGTCCCTGATGGAGACGACATCTCAGATTTATCAACAGGTAGATTATAGTTAAAGCTACCTGGATGTCGTCAGCAGATGTCACCAGAGAGAGAATTCAATCCATGAAGAATCTGAACATCAGGCTCAGGGAGAGGTGACCAGAATAAAACACGAAGAAGGAGCTGCCCTTGAGGCTGGAGAAAAACTGGGCAGTGGTGCCTGGACACCAAACGAGGAGGAGGTTTCAAGGAAAGAGATCAATGGTTGTAATGAACTAAACCAGAGCGTCACGAGGCTACGAGGGCTCACCATTTAAATGTATGACACGGAGGCCACCAGGACCCTGAGAGAGCATCGTCGTCAGTGAGACGGTTTGAGTGGTAATGTGTCCACTGTGTTATAACAGCGATCGATCGGGAGAAGCGGGACAGGGGGCCAGTGAGAATGGATGTGGAGAGATTTGTCAAAAGGGGAGCAGAGAAACAGAACAGCCTCTGGACAGGGAAATGAGTCAAGAGGTTTTTCTGTAGAAGGGAGAAATAACGTGTTTATATACAAGTGGGGATGACCCAGGGCAGAGCACGAGTTGCTGAGCAAGCCCTCGGGCAGGTGAGAGGCCGCACAGGGCAGAGCAGCTGGCCTGAGGCTGGAGCTGGGCGTGCCCCGCAGTGACGGGGCCGAGGAGGGGAGCCCTGCTAGAGGGCACCCACTCGTCACTGCGGGCTGTTCAGGCCCCGGGGAGGGTCAGTCCTCTCTGCAGCTGGGTAGGACCGGCGCAGGCCGCCCGCACTGCACCCAGGCTTCAGATGCTCAGCCTCTCTGCAGACATTCAGAGACCTCAGGTGCCCACCTCCCATGCCCCCTGTGCCTTACAGTCCTCAGAGTGCTGCCAGTTTAAGTGCACAACAGACAAGGAAGACCAACTACAGAGCTGGTGATCTGTCTCTGACACGGACGCCAGCTCCGAGGCCCAGAGCTTCTGGGCCCAGGACCACGCACACGGGAGGAGGAGGCATCGGAGCAGCTCGGCCTGCGGCCGAAGCTGCCAGGGGAGCCCGCACAGCCAGGCCAGGCGCCGCCCCCGCCTCCACACAGGTACCTCCATCGACGACCCCCTTGCTCAGGTCATCCTTGTTGTCTGAAGTCAAGAGCAGCTCCACGATCCCTCTGTCCTGCAAGGCCTATGGGGGACACGAGAGGAGTCAAAGTGTCACTTCTCGGGGCGCCTGCCAGGTCACAGGGAACGAGGCAGCAGTGAGGGAAGAGAAGAGATTCAAGTGAAGCATGTTTCTCCGCGGAAAACAGAACCCACCGTCTGTGGCACCACGTTCAGCAAAGCCCATCAGATCGGAGTCCAGCGGCAGCAGGGGCTGGCAGCCCCTGGCTCCCCCGACCCGGCTGCTGTGCGATCGCCCAGCAAGGGACCACAGGGACCCCGAGGTGGGTCAGGACCTCAGGGGCAGCGCCCTCCTCCCCTTCACCCTCACCGGAAGCACGCGGCTCCCTCCCGCACGCAGCAGGCCGGCTCTGGTCGCCGGCCGCGCACAGGCACGTGCCCCTGGTGTGCTGCACACACCCAGTAGAACAGTGAGGGTTCCTTGAAGGCTGTAAATGAAAGGATGAAAAAGCGGCAGGAGCACACGCTGTGCTGGGGACAGCGGCCATCTTCCACTCAGAGCAGCTGCTAACGTGCGCAGCCGTCACAGGCACAGGCCTCCGCGGAGCTCCACCTACACCGCTGTCCTGTCCGGTCTGCACAGCGGCGTCTGCACTGTCCAGGCGCAGAGCTCAGAGGAGCCGAGGGGTGCTGCTGGGACAGAGCTGACGGGCAAGCAGGGGTCTGTCTACCTTCAAAGGCTCCGCCTGAGCTGTGGGCAACTTGGAATCAGAAACCCCAGCAAGGGGGATTTTCTGTGATTTCCCTGCAGATACTATGGCAACACTGCTATTTCAACCCAATTCTTTTGGAAACAGGGGAGGCAGAGGGATAAACCAGTGGATTAATGAAGCTCATGTCTCACCCCAGATGCTGGTAAGAAAGGAGCAGAGGCCCCTAATTCTCGGGACCACAGAAGCTGCAGGAGTTTAATCCATGAGGCAAGGTGAGGTTTTTATCAGAGTCTGACAACCCACCGCCTCACAGCTCCCCAACCAGCCACTCACTGATAATTAACAAACTCTGCTCAGGCTCCCACAGTAAACACACGGCATCACGGGCTTGGGAGCTGAGCACAAGGAAGGCGACTATCTTTATAGCTGCACCCTTCACCCGTGACCGCTCCTGGGCATCGAGGGACTGACTGCCCACTAAGAGAGGACTGCTGCTTCCTGAGCACCAGCCATCTGCCCTGCACAGTCAGGACCTTGTGCCTGTCACCCCACTGTGTTCCCACAGCAGCCTTACAGAATGGCATTCTTGTCTCCACTGTGACATGACACAGTAAGGCTCAGAAAGGTAGGGTGACTTGCCCAAGGTCATCTATGCTGATCTATGCTGATGGTGTCCACATGTCCACACACCCTGGGAAAGGTGCCTGGCAGCTCAGGAGAGGATCCTCCCAACAGCTCCGGGGTGACAGAGGCTGGGCACTGGTGTTTCTCTCCCCACCTGTCTCACCTGCAGATAGCTTTCCCAGACACCAGGAAAGCAGGGCTGAGCAGGAGAGGTCCCTGAAGGGGCTGCACTCTCCTCTCTTCTCTCCTCTCTTCTCCCTCGCTGGAGCTCTCCGACTCTGCACCTCAGTAATTCAGTAAACACGGGCTAGAGAAAACCCCAGCACCCAGAGACAGGCAGAGGGAGTGAGGGGAGCCAGGAGGAGCTCTCCTGTCCTGCGCCAGCTGAGATCTTCCCAGCCAATTCAAAGACAAAGAGGAGGCTAGAGGTGTGGTCTAATCAAGGCTGTGGCTAGACTTGGCCATCAGGACTGAATTCTCCCCATTCCAGCTTTGGAAATGTCACTCCTCCTGGAGACAGCCTGGCTCCCTAGGCCAGGAGCGGTCTGCACGTGAAGAAGGGAGGGGGGAAGAGTGGACAAGCTGAGGTGCTCAAACCTCAGTCTACCCATCTGCAGGGACTGAAGTGATTTCCAGATGGAAGATGACTCTGCCTGTGACAGCAGAAGAGATGCTTCCAGGACACCAGGAGCCAGAGCCAAAGCAGATTTAATTAGATGGATTCACAAAGGTCACTTAACATTTTCTCAACTCACACCAAGGCCACCCCTTCTAAGTACCCTAAAACCAATGCCAATGATCCTATCAGAGTCTTGTTTACTGACTACTGTATGCCTAAAACTACTCAGCCATGTGACTTCACATACATGCCCAATTCACAGGCAAACAATCGCATCAGTCCCACTCCATAGAGGAGAAAGTGGAGGTTTAGAAAAATGAAGGCACTTTTTTCAGGTCTCAGCTACTAAGTGGCGGAAACCAGATTAAACACCAGCCTGTTCTTTCCCGTGGTCCTCCAGCCCTGCCCTGCCCCGATCTGCTGTATGCTAAACTGATGGCTCGCCACCTCCCCCACACTTGAAATCAGATGTCCGAGTGCCGCCCCAGACACCTTAGGTTAGTATGGTATACAGCCTGGCCAGATGAAGCCTCTGTGCCATTGGAACTGGGGACCACTGGGCTGAGGGCAGCCTCTCGAGGAAGACGGTGCTAATCATCACCCCAGTCAAGCCCAGCCCTTTATTCTCAGCCCTGAAACACCATGACGCCCTGCCATCCCCAATTAAACTCAGTCAATACAGGGTAAGTGACAGCCCTACTGAGATAAAAGTACGGAGAAAGAATGTACTAATTGATAACTGGTACAGAGAGGCACGGTGTTAATATGAGAAAAGTATTAGACCCAGCCGCGACGCCACAGCCTACGATACATTCTAGAGGAAGGAACGTGACGGAATGAAGCACGCCCACACTTACTTTCTTGACGTAAGGCATGTAGGCGGGGTCTTTGTTATAGGACCCATATTCATTCTCCACCTGCAGAGCGATGATGGGTCCTCCATGCTTGTACTGGGGAGAAAGAAGAAATCAGAAGCTGTTTGTAGTGGGAACTGTATTATCTAGTTTCACTACACTGATCACCAATTACCAGCAAAACGTCCCATTGAAAGCAGAAGTCTCAAAAGGTTTGGTGTGTAATTGAAAGTGATGTCAGTCAGACACAGAGGGCAGCTCCAGGCCCATGTCCCCCTATGAAAACGTCATATAAACAACTGCATCCTGATCAAAACAACTTTACAGGACCTCTGGAAGCCAATCAAATGTTTAAGCAGACAAATAAATGCCTAACAAGAAAAAGGCATTCAATATATGCATAACCCATGGGCACAGACTAGTGTGGTGAGGGCCTGAGGGCTGGTAGGGGGCAGTGGGTGAAAACAGGGGACATCTACAGTGCTTTCAACAATAAAGATAAATTTTTTTAAAAAAAGAAAACGGCATTCAAAATGCTATGAAATTGTACACGTTTTGCTTGCCCTTGTCCGACTCCGCCGTGAGGCTGCAAAGCAGAGACAGACAAACATCCTAATTCCCAGTTCACCCCCTCAGGATAGAAAACACAAAATGGCATTTGTTTGCAATGTCCTGGCTGCCTGGGGGCTGTCCAGGGACTAGCTTCTGTCTCATCTGACCTGGAGCCCGAACAGGGTATGTTGTCACAGTTTGGACCTCAGATGTGGTCTTTCTTTAGCAACTGTTTCTAGAGATTTATTTTGTTCCTTTGAATGAGCCATGTTTCCCTGTTCCTTGTTGCACATTTGGAGGGAACACCTTCACTATTTAATGGGTTCCTAAGCCTTGAAAAAGGCAGGATGAAGGCTTAAAATCTCCTCAGATATTTTCTGGGCATCTGTCCTGTCTGGAGAGAGAGAGAGAGAGAGAGAGAGAGAGACCAGCTGCCTTTACATATCTTATTTTCCCAGAGTCTCACCCCAGCTTCTTCTTGTGGCCTTAAATGTTCTATCATCCTCTTTTGCCTGCACACCCTTGCTCCCAGGGTTCCATGAGTCTGCAGTCTCCCGGAAGTTTTCACACGTTTTAACCCACCACTGTCTTCAAAGAAACACACCCACTGGACTTCATAGACAAAAATTTTTAAACAACTGTCATAATTATGCTCAATGAGCTAGAGAAAATAATGGACACAGAAATCAGAAGGGTATACGAACAAAATGAGAATTTTAATAATGTAACAAACTATGAAAAAAGAACTACACAGAAATTCTGAAGCTGAAAAATATAATATCCAAGTAAAAAAATTCACCATAGGAATTCAACAGCAGATTCTAGCAGGCAGAAAAACGAATGGGCAAACTTGAAGACGAGTCATTTTAAACAGAGTCTGAGAAGCAAAAAGAAAAAAATGAAGAAAAGTGAACAAAGCCTAAGGTACTTAGGCAACATCAGTAAGCAGACAGACATGCTCGTTCGCTTCTCCCCCAAAGGAGACGATACAAAAGGGTATGGAGATTATTTGAAGAAATAATAGCTGAAAATTTCTCAAACCTGAGGAGACAAAGATATACAAATCCAAGAAGCTTCAATATACTCCAAGTAGCATTAACCCAACAGCCCACAGTGGGACACATCACAATCAAACTGTCAAAGATAAAGACAAAGAGAGACTCTTGAAAGGAATGAAAGAAAAGCAACCTAACATGTACAAGGATCCCCAACAAAACTATCAGTGGATATCTCATCGGAAACCTTGCGGGACAGAGGCAGTGGAATGATATATTCAGAATTCTCAAGGGAAAAGAAACAACAATGAGAATTCTATATTCAACAAAACTATCCTTCAAAATGAGGAAGAAATTAAGACATTCTCAAACAAATAAAAGTGGAGGGATTTTATTACCACTAGACTTGCCTTAACAAGAAATGCTACATGAACTCTCTCAAATTGAAATGAAAGGGTGTTAGATAGTAACTTGAAGCCATATGAAAATATAAAATTCTCTGGTAAAGTTAAATATGTGAAAAAAATGTAAAAACCAGTATTATAATAATTTTAGTATATAACTCCAACTTTTATTTTTTACAGGATTTTAAAGACAAATGCATAAAAATAATTATGAATCTATTATAATGGGTACACAACATAAAAAGATGTAATTTGTAACATCAATAACAAAGGGGCAGAGCTGTAAAGGAGTACAGTTTTTGTATGTGATTAAAGTTAAATTGTTTAAACACAGGACAGAATATCGTAACTTTTGGACAGTATATGTAATACCAGTGGGAACCACAATTAAGATATCAATTAGAATATGCCCGGCCGGGTGTGGCTCAGTGGTTAAGCGTCGACCTAGGATCCAGGCGATCAGGGTTCGATTTCCGGTCAGGGCACATGCCCGGGTTGTGGGCTCGATCAATGACTCTCTCTTCATTGATGTTTCTATCTCTCTCTTTCCCTCTCCTTTCCTCTCTGAAATCAATAAAGATTTTTTTTTTTTAAAAAAAAGATATCTATAGAATATACACAAAAGGAACTAAAAGGGTAATCAAAACTTATCAATATAAAAAATTAACTAAATACAAAAAACAAAAACAAAAAAACAACCATGGAGGAGATGAGGGAGAAAAAGCTATAAGACACACAGAAAACAAATAACAAGATGTCAAAAGTAAGTGCTTTCCTATCAGAAATTACTTTAAATGTAAATGGATTAACTTCCCTGACCAAAAGACATTGATTTGCAGAATGAATTAAAAAATCAGTATCCAACTGTACCCTGTCTACAAGACACTCACCTTAGGTCTAAGGACACACATAAATGGAAAGTTAAAGAATGGAAAAAAGATATTCTGTACAAAAAGTAACCAAAAGAGAGCACGGAGACTTAAAATCAGAAACTGTTAGAAGAGACAAGAATGGGTATTATATATTATAAATACATACATACATATTTATGTAGTTATATAACATATAAATGATAAAAAAGTCTATTTAGAAGATATCATAATTATAAACATGTATGCACCAAACACCAGAGCTCCAAAATATATGAAACAAATATTAATAGAATTGAACAGGAAAAAAGACAGCACTATAATAATAGTATGAGACTTCAACACCCCATTTTCAATAATAGAACAACAAGACAAAAGATTAATAACGAAATACAGGACTTGAACAACACCGGAGATCAACTGGACCTAAAATATATATATAGAACACTCCACCCAACAATCACACAAAATACATTTTTCTCAAGTACACATGGAATATTCTCCAAGATAGATCATACCTTAGGACACAAAACAAATTTTAATAAATTTTAAAATATTGAAATCATAAAAAGTATCTTTTCCAATTACAATAGAATGAAACTAGATCCCAACAGCAGAAAGAAAACTAGAAGATTCACAAATATGTGGAAATTAAACAACACACTCTTAAACACCAGTGGCTCAAAGGAGAAATCAAAGGGAAATTAGAAATTACCTTGAAGAAAATGAAAACACAAATAACAAACATGGGATGCACAGAAAGCAGTGCCTAGAAGGAAATTTAAACTGTGAACACATTAAAAAAGAATAGTCTCATGTCAACAACCTAACGTTTCACCCTAAGGAACTAGAAAAAGAGAAACAAACTAAACTCAAAGGTAGCAAAAAGTATAAAAAAATAATAATAAAGATGAGAGTAGAGATTAAAATAGAGAACAGAAAAACAATAGAGAAAAATCAATAAAACCAAGAGCTGGTTCTTTGAAAAGATCAACAAAATTGACAAACCTTTAGTTAGATTAACTAAGAAAAGATTCAAATAACTAAAAATCAGAAACAAAATAGATGTTGCTACCAATTTTATAAGGATAAAAAGGATTGTAAAAGAAGAATATGAACAATGATAGGCCAACACATTGGATAACCCAGATGAAATACACAAATTCTAGAAATACAAAAAATGCCAAAACTGAATCATGAATAAAAAACCTTAACAGATCTATCATGATTGAAGAGATTTACAGCAATCCTTCTCAAGCTCTTCCAAAAAAATTTTAAAAATAGGGAACATCCCAAATTCATTTGATGAGGGCAGTATTACCAAAATCAGAAAAAAAAAAAACTACAAGAAAAGAAATAAACTACAGACAAATATTCCTGAATATTGATACAAAACTCTTCAACAAAATACTAGCAAACCAGCCCAGCCAGCATGGCTCAGTGGTTGAGCATCAACCAATGATCCGAGAGATCGCAGTTTGATTCCTGGTCAGGGCACATGCCCGGGTTGCAGGCTCAATCCCCAGTTGGGGGTGTGTAGGAGGCAGCCGATCAATGACTCTCTCATCATTGATGTTTCTATCTCTCTCTCTCCCTCTCCCTTCCTCTCTCTGAAATCAATAAAGATATTAAAAAATATATATACTAGCAAACCAAATTCAACAGCATATTAAAAAGATTATACACCATGAACAAGAAGAATTTATTCCTGAATGCAAGGATGGTTGAATAAAAATCAATGTAACACACTGTATTAACAAAATGAAGGGGGGAAAAAACACACGATCACCTCAATGCAGAAAAAGCATTTGACCAAATTCCACATACTTTCATAATAAAAAACACGCAACAAATTAAAAATACACAAAAACTATCTCAACATAATAAAGGCTATATATGAAAAGCCCACAGTCAAACTCATATTTAATGGTAAAAGACTGAAAGCTTTTCCTCTAAAGCTAAGAACAAGACAAGGATTCCTGCTTTCACCACTTCTATTTAACATAGTATTGAAAGTCTGACCCAGAACAGTTAGGCGATAAATAAATAAATGCACCCAAATTGGAAAGGAGGAAGTAAAATTATCTCTCTTTGAAGACATGATCATATATGTAGAAAACCATAAAGAGTCCACAAGAATAAAACTATTAGCAAAACAAATTCAGCAAACTTGCAGTATACAAAATCCACACATGAAATATGAAATTCTGTTTCTTTTATATATATATATATCTTTACTGATTTCAAAGAGAGGAAAGCAGAGGGAGAGAGAGAAA